TGCGCCTCTGCCGGTGAATGACGGGGCCAATCACCCAACATTCACTCTGCCGGTGAACTGAGGGGGCCAATCACCCAACATTCACTCTGCCGGTGAATGACGGGGCCAATCACCCAACACCGTCTCTGCCGGTGAATTGATGGGGCCAATCACCCAACATGGTCTCTGCCGGTGAATGACGGGGCCAATCACACAACATCGTCTCTGCCAGTGAATGACGGGGCCAATCACCCAACATCGTCTCTGCCGGTGAACTGATGGGGCCAGTGATCCTCTGCCAGGGATTCACCACATTTGCTTGGCTGTCGTTTGCCGATAGTGACTCGTTCTCCTCTCGGTAGAAGGAACATTGTCCAGAACGAGGCGCAGCAGTAATAAATACAACGTGATTGGACGGCTCCTTCCAGGGGCCCTCAGTATACATTGGTATAACAACCTCCTTATCTAGCTCCTTGAGGGCGGGGCAGAAATTTAGCCCCTCCCCTGCAGACACATTGTGGCTTCCTAGAAATGAATGGCGCGATGATATCAGAATTACCTCATCATGACGCCGTACGTGAAGTTGAAGAGGTCGTCCTCCCTCCATGTTGTTGCGGAGACGGTGCCGGCATTCAATATGGCGGACAGGTGGATGAAGATGGCGCTGGTCAGACTCGGCACGTTCTGTAGATGTCTAGAACACAAGAAAGGAATCTCTGCTCAGAACTCTCTTCCCAACCACAGCATAAGGCCACGCCTACCACAGTATATAGCCACGCCTACCACAGTACAAAGCCACGCCTACCACATTATAAAGCCACGCCTACCACAGTATACAGCCATGCCTACCACAGTATATAGTCACGCCTACCACAGTACAAAGCCACGCCTACCACAGTATAAAGCCACGCCTACCACAGTACAAAGCCACGCCTACCACATTATAAAGCCCCTCCTACCACAGTATACAGCCACGCCTACCACAGTACAAAGCCACGCCTACCACAGTATAAAGCCACGCCTACCACAGTATATAGCCACGCCTACCACAGTACAAAGCCACGCCTACCACATTATAAAGCCACTCCTACCACAGTATACAGCCACGCCTACCACAGTATAAAGACACGCCCATTACAGTATAAAGCTACACCCACCACAATATAAAGACACGCCCACCACTGTGTAAAGCCACGCCCATCACATTATAAAGCCACGCCCATCACAGTATAAAGCCACACCCACCACAATATAAAGATGCCCACCACAGTATAAAGCCACGCCCACCACAGTATAAAGCCACGCCCCCCACAGTATAAAGCCACGCCCATCACAGTATAAAGCCACGCCCATCACAGTATAAAGCCACGCCTTTCACAGTATAAAGTCAGACCCACCACAGTATAAAGCCACGCCCATTACAGTATAAAGCCACGCCTTTCACAGTATAAAGCCACGCCCATTACAGTATAAAGCCACGCCTACCACAGTATAAAGCCACGCCTACCACAGTATAAAGTCACACCCACCACAGTATAAAGACACGCCCATTACAGTATAAAGACACATCCACCACAATATAAAGACACGCCCACCATATTATAAAGCCACGCCCACCACAGTATAAAGCCACGCCCACCACAGTGGCCAGAAAATTGGAAACCCCGCCATCCGCTAGCTCTGCAGGCGCTGGCATTCAGTACTTACGATCGTAGGACGGCCTTCTCCGCTCTGACATCATAGTCCGGCAGTGTGACATCAAACATTCGTTCCATTAAAATCTTGGCGTACTTCCCAAAGTCCAACTTGCGGCCGGACTCCCAGACAACGCGGTCATAGGAGAGCGGATCCAGGAGAACGGTGACAAATCTCCCGGCCACCTGGACCTGGCGGGAACAGAGAGAGAGGTCACATGACATGCCGAAAATGGATTTAATGACACGGGTGGGCGGGGCTCTGCAACGCAGGCATATGATTGGTTGTAGCCTCCAGAATAAACAATGAGACATGCCGGAGCTTTCACCTGACACTGGTGGTACTGCCACAGATAGGAGTGACACTATTCTACCGGGCCTCACCACCAGCTATAGAGAACTACAACTCCCAGCAATACATTATACAGCAATGCAGAATACCACCAGCTATAGAGGACTACAACTCCCAGCAATACATTACACAGCAATGCAGAATACCCTCCGCTATAGAGAACTACAACTCCCAGCAATACATTATACAGCAATGCAGAGTACCACCAGCTATAGAGGACTACAACTCCTAGCAATACATTACACAGCAATGCAGAATACCCTCCGCTATAGAGAACTGCAACTCCCAGCAATACATTATACAGCAATGCAGAGTACCACCAGCTATAGAGGACTACAACTCCTAGCAATACATTACACAGCAATGCAGAATACCCTCCGCTATAGAGAACTGCAACTCCCAGCAATACATTATACAGCAATGCAGAGTACCACCAGCTATAGAGGACTACAACTCCTAGCAATACATTACACAGCAATGCAGAATACCCTCCGCTATAGAGAACTGCAACTCCCAGCAATACATTATACAGCAATGCAGAGTACCACCAGCTATAGAGGACTACAACTCCTAGCAATACATTACACAGCAATGCAGAATACCCTCCGCTATAGAGAACTGCAACTCCCAGCAATACATTATACAGCAATGCAGAGTACCACCAGCTATAGAGGACTACAACTCCTAGCAATACATTACACAGCAATGCAGAATACCCTCCGCTATAGAGAACTGCAACTCCCAGCAATACATTATACAGCAATGCAGAGTACCACCAGCTATAGAGGACTACAACTCCTAGCAATACATTACACAGCAATGCAGAATACCCTCCGCTATAGAGAACTGCAACTCCCAGCAATACATTATACAGCAATGCAGAGTACCACCAGCTATAGAGGACTACAACTCCTAGCAATACATTACACAGCAATGCAGAATACCCTCCGCTATAGAGAACTGCAACTCCCAGCAATACATTATACAGCAATGCAGAGTACCACCAGCTATAGAGGACTACAACTCCTAGCAATACATTACACAGCAATGCAGAATACCCTCCGCTATAGAGAACTGCAACTCCCAGCAATACATTATACAGCAATGCAGAGTACCACCAGCTATAGAGGACTACAACTCCTAGCAATACATTACACAGCAATGCAGAATACCCTCCGCTATAGAGAACTGCAACTCCCAGCAATACATTATACAGCAATGCAGAGTACCACCAGCTATAGAGGACTACAACTCCCAGCAATACATTATACAGCAATGCAGAATACCCTCCGCTATAGAGGACTACAACTCCCAGCATACAAATCCGCCATGTTGCGTCACCACATAACCGCAACAAATGACAGGTGTACATCTCTGGAAAGATGCACATGTATGAAGCAATACACGGAACCATGCAGAACCAGCCTGCGCTCCGGATATAGCGCTGACATACATGTGCCACGCCAGGAGAGCCGTGTGGTAGAAAATCCTGAGACTATAACTGAAACCATCATGGCTGCCACTCTGCAGAACCGACACTCACCGTGAACACGTCTCCATGTTTGGCTTTCATACGTGTCAGGAAGGCAGCCGCGTCTCTCCCAAATTCCAGAGCGTGACCCAACCACGGGATGACTCCGAGGTCCAGCGGCGGCTCCCTCTGCCTCCTGCAACACAAAACCGGACTCTGGGTCTGAAGCATGATCTCACTTCACCCGCCAGGGGACACCGGACATGGCTGTGCACATACATGAGACCGAACATGGCTCCATACATGAGACCGGACACGCAGTCCCTCCAGGTAAGTTATCATCACTCACCTGCACACAGTCCCTCCAGATAAGTTATCAGCTCTCACCTGCACACAGTCCCTCCAGGTAAGTTATCAGCACTCAGCTACGCAGAGTCCCTCCAGGTAAGTTATCAGCTCTCACCTGCACACAGTCCCTCCAGGTAAGTTATCAGCTCTCACCTGCACACAGTCCCTCCAGATAAGTTATCAGCACTCACCTGCACACAGTCCCTCCAGGTAAGTTATCAGCACTCACCTGCACACAGTCCCTTCAGGTAAGTTATCAGCACTCACCTGCACACAGTCCCTCCAGGCAAGTTATCAGCTCTCACCCGCACGCAGTCCCTTCAGGTAAGTTATCAGCACTCACCTACACAGAGTCCCTTCAGGTAAGTTATCAGCACTCACCTGCACACAGTCCCTCCAGATAAGTTATCAGCACTCACCTACACAGAGTCCCTTCAGGTAAGTTATCAGCACTCACCTGCACACAGTCCCTTCAGGTAAGTTATCAGCACTCACCTGCACACAGTCCCTCCAGATAAGTTATCAGCACTCACCTGCACACAGTCCCTCCAGATAAGTTATCAGCTCTCACCTGCACACAGTCCCTTCAGGTAAGTTATCAGCACTCACCTGCACACAGTCCCTTCAGGTAAGTTATCAGCACTCACCTGCACACAGTCCCTCCAGGTAAGTTATCAGCTCTCACCTGCACACAGTCCCTCCAGATAAGTTATCAGCTCTCACCTGCACACAGTCCCTTCAGGTAAGTTATCAGCACTCACCTGCACACAGTCCCTCCAGGCAAGTTATCAGCTCTCACCCGCACGCAGTCCCTTCAGGTAAGTTATCAGCACTCACCTACACAGAGTCCCTTCAGGTAAGTTATCAGCACTCACCTACACAGAGTCCCTTCAGGTAAGTTATCAGCACTCACCTACACAGAGTCCCTTCAGGTAAGTTATCAGCACTCACCTACACAGAGTCCCTTCAGGTAAGTTATCAGCACTCACCTACACAGAGTCCCTTCAGGTAAGTTATCAGCACTCACCTACACAGAGTCCCTTCAGGTAAGTTATCAGCACTCACCTACACAGAGTCCCTTCAGGTAAGTTATCAGCACTCACCTACACAGAGTCCCTTCAGGTAAGTTATCAGCACTCACCTACACAGAGTCCCTTCAGGTAAGTTATCAGCACTCACCTACACAGAGTCCCTTCAGGTAAGTTATCAGCACTCACCTACACAGAGTCCCTTCAGGTAAGTTATCAGCACTCACCTACACAGAGTCCCTTCAGGTAAGTTATCAGCACTCACCTACACAGAGTCCCTTCAGGTAAGTTATCAGCACTCACCTACACAGAGTCCCTTCAGGTAAGTTATCAGCACTCACCTACACAGAGTCCCTTCAGGTAAGTTATCAGCACTCACCTACACAGAGTCCCTTCAGGTAAGTTATCAGCACTCACCTACACAGAGTCCCTTCAGGTAAGTTATCAGCACTCACCTACACAGAGTCCCTTCAGGTAAGTTATCAGCACTCACCTACACAGAGTCCCTTCAGGTAAGTTATCAGCACTCACCTACACAGAGTCCCTTCAGGTAAGTTATCAGCACTCACCTACACAGAGTCCCTTCAGGTAAGTTATCAGCACTCACCTACACAGAGTCCCTTCAGGTAAGTTATCAGCACTCACCTACACAGAGTCCCTTCAGGTAAGTTATCAGCACTCACCTACACAGAGTCCCTTCAGGTAAGTTATCAGCACTCACCTACACAGAGTCCCTTCAGGTAAGTTATCAGCACTCACCTACACAGAGTCCCTTCAGGTAAGTTATCAGCACTCACCTACACAGAGTCCCTTCAGGTAAGTTATCAGCACTCACCTACACAGAGTCCCTTCAGGTAAGTTATCAGCACTCACCTACACAGAGTCCCTTCAGGTAAGTTATCAGCACTCACCTACACAGAGTCCCTTCAGGTAAGTTATCAGCACTCACCTACACAGAGTCCCTTCAGGTAAGTTATCAGCACTCACCTACACAGAGTCCCTTCAGGTAAGTTATCAGCACTCACCTACACAGAGTCCCTTCAGGTAAGTTATCAGCACTCACCTGCACACAGTCCCTCCAGATAAGTTATCAGCTCTCACCTGCACACAGTCCCTCCAGGTAAGTTATCAGCACTCACCTGCACACAGTCCCCCCAGGTATGTTATCAGCACTCACCTGTTCCTCCGTAGGAAGGCAGTCCAGGCGAGGACAGTGAGGAGGATGAGGATGAAGAGAAGAGCGGCGCTCATTGTACCCGGAGGAGCTGGAAGTGGAGTCAGCAGAAGCTCATCCTGTGTATATATAGAGGGGGGGAGGGGGGGCGCACATTCCAACAGCTGCACTGACATTCACACTGCGGGGGACGTCATTCTCTCCATGTGAATAGATGGCGTTCCAACCCTAAGGAGAGAGACAACCATCATAAACTATGTGTCTGCATCACCCTGACTTATGGCAAGCCGGGGCCCTGAGATAAGATAGAGGGGCCCCTAGCAGAGCCACGAGTACCAAGAATAGACATAACACAAGGTGAGAGGCTGCAGCAGGGGCTGATCTGTGTCTGACATTTGTGCACAGGCTCACCTCAGTCTAGGAAGTAGATGGTGATCCCGGGTGATGGCTGAACAGAGATGGTGCCGTCCTTCTGGAGAGGGAAGCAGATGAACGCATTGTCAGGGGGAGTCATGTGATCTCTGGGATGCAACAGATACCTGGAAGGGTCACATGACACATCACCGAGGATGGAGAGACGTGATGACATACAGGAAGTGCTGACTCCCTATTGGGGGAATGCATGTGGCCCCGCCCCCCTCATGGACCCAGGC